CGAACGGCAGATTTACGGCAACCGGGACATCAGACCTGCGACCATCCAACGACGGAGGCAAGCTTTTCACCTAACGTCCGGCGAAGCGAGAGTTTCCCCAGCACGTCTGAGCACCCCGTGAGAGCGGCAGTCCAATACGAGAAATACTAGGGGCTGAGACGAGGCCGAGAACCAAGAGCCATCAACAGCACCGCTCCGGCAACAACCCGGGCCAAGAACCTACCAAACCGAGCCCCTGCCTTTCTTTGTTTTCACGGTAATTTGGCTGAGCCTTATACCCCTATTAATTGGCTGAGATTATGTGTTTAGCATGCCTAGTACCAGTTTGCTTGAAGAGGATAAGAGCTTGATATGTATTTCTTCTGGCTGTTTTTGTTCGTGAATTTTCTTGCTGTATTATGTAAGTTTGGAGGTGTTACTTTCAGCCAAGTTTCAAGTGAAAGCATGCTTAGTTTTATTAATAGGTTTAAAAAAAAGGGACTTATAGCATGAAATGACTTGGTTGATTATTTCTGTTGTGAGCCTTGTCTTGATATCTAAATGGAGCCTCTGATTTTTGTACTTCAATGGCTGAGAGTAAAGTGTTTGTAAGTGTTAAGTTCAGCTTTGAGTTTCAAGTACAAGCATGCCTAAGTTTTTGAAGAAAGAGAGCTTGTTTTATGTTTTGTTTTGTGGAATTTTTGGAAGTTGTTTTGCCTTGAGTGTCCTTCAAAACTATATGACAGGGCCAACCCGGCTGTGTTGGGCACCTGCCGGAGCCATCTAGTAGTTTCAATAGATAAATATATACTAGAGATATAGATATTTATTGAATTTTGAGTTAAAAGATGTAAAAAAATTAACAAAAATTGCCAACCAAATGAATTCTGCAACTTCTTCTTCTTCTCCCTTTAGCACATGTCCTTATGCGCCCTTCAACCACTCAAAACCTAGTCTCCCTGTTCCGCTCCGCCGCTGGGCTCGCTTCTAGACGCTCCGCCGCCGCCAAGAAGAAGAAACCTTCGTCGGCCTCCGCCAGCCCAGGCGCCGCCAAGAAGTGTCCTACCTCCTCCTCACCATTGGCCGACGACGCTGACTTAAAGAAGCACCTCTCCTCCATTACATTTTCATCTTCATCATCCTCGGGATCTGTCAATCTCCACCTCAAGCAGTATAAAGCACCCCTGTCCTCGAAGATCTCCAATTCAACTAGTACCACTCTCCATTCTATTGTCAGTGACAGCTTGAACGCTGATGGTAGAAGAGGTGACGACGGTATGTACAGAAATTTTCTTGCTGTGAGATTCATATTTAGGCCCTTTCTAATTCAGGTGCTTACCTTTTAGTATTCTTTTGTTTTTCCTCTTTGTTGTAGATAAATCAGCAGAGCTGCTGTCTGATGATGCGTCCAGTTTATTGCATGGTATGTGTTATTGATTAAAACTTTTTTTGGATTGAAATACAAATTATTGTAGACTGTAATGCGAGATTGATTTTGGGCTAAGTTGGCCATGTTCCTCAGCTTATTGATGATGTTGTCTGGATATATTTTCGTACAATCATCAACCAATCAAATTGTTTGTACTGTTACGTTTTTGCTGGGATATGAATTTAGCAAATTTCTATCTGTTTAATATATTTTACGACTACAAGTTTGCAATCATGGGTATATCTTGATTAAAAGATTCAGACATTGCTATATATTTAACTGCAGATGAAATGGACCTGGATTGGGAAAATGACCATGAAGGGAAGCAAACTTTTGGACTTGCTGACAGCTTATCAATGTTAGCCAAAATGACAAACGATAATATATTGCTGCAGAGGAAAAATGTCACTGGAGTGAGGAATCATAGGTGGGTTTATAAGAACACACATTGTAGTCGGTTTACCAAGTTGGTCAATATGTGTGGCACGATGCTGGGATCCGAGGCTACCATTGAGATATTTGGGAGATTGGGAACAAAAACGGGCCTTAATGAATACAATGCATTGATAAGGATTTGCATGGAGAAAGCAAGGAGTACTAATGATGAAGATGTTTCACTAGAGCAAATTTATAAGGCATACCAAATATTTAAGTTGGTAACGGAAAGAGGATTTAAAATCAAAGAGGAAATGTATGGACAGCTTCTGATGTATCTAGTTGATTATGGTATGGTTGAAGAGTTCTTTTTCTTCCACGAAATAATCAGAGATAAGAGTCCTGATTCACTTCCACGCTTAGCTTATTACGAAATGCTATTGTGGATGAGAGTCAAGAATGAAGAAAAAATTCAAGAACTTCTTGGTTCAGTTATGGCTAGTGAAGCGGAAGAGAAATCATTATTTCAAGGTCTGCTTCTTGACATTGTAGAGCTTTAATTTTTTATCTATTGTTTATTTACCCTGCTTTCACAACATTTATTTAGATCTTGCAGCGAGTTACTATTTTTTTCTTATTCCCCTTTCTTCTGTTTTATGCTTACATAAACTATATCATAGACGTTCTTTGTCACTGCTCTCTCTCTCTCTCTCTCTCTCTCTCTCTCTCTCGCCCAACCCCCCCACTGGTCCAGCAGTCCCTTAATCAGGGCTGATGCAGTATGTCCACTTCATTGACAACTATTATGTTCCAGTTTGGGTATCTGCTTCCATAATGGTGCACAATGGAAATTGTTCATTTTCTTTTAACTGTCATAATTTTGATTTTTTTAGTTTAAATGTTATGGGGCGCATATAGCTTCATAAGTTTGAATAGTCCAGTTAGACATGGCCAAAATCTGGGCCGGGTCACGACCCGGCCCGGCCCGCCGGGCCGAAGGGTTGGGTTTGGTGGACCCTGAACCGGCACGGCTTAGGTCCGTGCCGGGTCCATGACCCGCCGGACCGGGCCGGGCCCGGGTCTGGACCCGTCCCAATAAAAAAGAAAGAAAAAAAAAGAAAAATTCAAAAATCATACATTTTTGTCGTGTCGACCCTGACCCGGCCCGGCCCGCCGGGTCATGGTAAAAAATCCCGACCCGGGATTGGCCCGGATGAAATCCGAGCCGGGTCCGGACCCGTGGTCAACGGGTTTGACCAGGCCGGGTCGGCGGGCCGGTTGACCCGTGGCCATGTCTAAGTCCAGTGATATTTGCTTGATATTGCTGTTAACTAAACATGGGGCAGGAGAAGAAACGTTCACAATTGTCATTGTACAGGTATTTATATTGCTCAATGACCTTTCCAGTACAATACTAACTACTATTTGTCGCAAGATTTTCTTACTAATGTATTTTATTTGTGTTGGATTACTATAAGCCTGTCATTTGTCCTTTCTTTAATATGATAACGTCTATTCTTTTTTTGCAATGATATGGGGGTGATGGGATTAACATTCAAGTGGACATGACATCTTAACTTTTACTGCATCATAAGTGCCGTTTTTCTGGTGGCTTCTTGTTGTATTTCTTTTTCTGTTCTTTTTTCCTTTTATCCTAAAATGAGAGTTAAAACTTATATATGTAGTGGTGCAATATTTATGTTGTTTAATATATCCATGCTCATATGTTGGTAAGTGTTCGACTCATGTCAGCATACAGTTTATCTAATCGGAGTGTCACAACTATCTTGCAGAAAGCTTATTGATGGCATTGTGCGAAGGTGGCCGCAGAGAAGATTTTTTAATGCTACTGGATACGATTGACATAACTAAAGTTTCGCCAGTTGCATCTATACAGCGTGTCTTCAGGGCATTGGGGGAGCATTTGCTGGAACCTCATGCAGAAAGATTTCTGCTGGTGCTGAAAAGAAGTGGTTAGTACACAAAATGTTGGATATTGCAATTAAGAAAATTCAGTGATGAATCCATTGTAAAATTTTGGAGTTTTTTGAACTGAGCATATCAAATCATACCAGGATGGTTTGTGCCTTTATAGATTTTGGTTCATAAAGGGAAACTATTTTATTCCGTGCAAAAACCCTTCAATCTCACATGGAAGAATTGTCTGCGTTAAAAATGATGTTAAAGAATCTCTGCGTTAAAAATGATTAACATCTTTGCGTTATATCATATGAGGTCACTGTAAATTATCTAAATTTTATGCCTTGTGCTAGACCATAGGTGCATCTCTATCATCTGTATGTTCTTATTTATTTTATTTATTTATTTATTTATTTTTTTATTATTTCTGTATACTTGAAGCAGCCTACCAGGGGTATTTAGGGCTTCAAATGGTATAGTTTTTTCTTTAGATCTTACCAGGCTTATTTGGCAATATGCTTGTGTGCTATTTGTCTAGCAGACATTGGAGCTGAAAACATCTCAAACTTCATCCATGAATATGCGGTTAGCCTACCAAACTTAGCGGTGAGGAATTTCTCATGAATGCTAATGGTAAAGTTTTTGAGTCTGTAATTTGTGGGATAGTTCAGCTTAAAGCAGCTTAATCTTTTGAGAAATATGAATGTGTTCAAGCCTTTCAAATGACGAACAATTTGGTTTTAATTGCAATGATTCTCGTTCAGTTTTGTTGGTTTCTAAAGATAACTTGCACATTCAAACCATATTTGTTCTTTTAAATGGAGCTATATACTAGTACGAAGTTCCTATTTGCCTATTTCATCCCACATGATTACATATCTATGGGTTATGGGCCACTGTTTTCAGTTATGATTGTGATTGTCTTGAGATAGTTTGCTTTTCGCTATACTTTTCATTTACCATTATTGGGACATACTAAGCAAGAGGTTGTCGTTTTTGGTATTATTATTTGACCAAGTTGTGGCCATTTACTTCTCTCATTAATGATCTGAAATGACTACTTTTTTTTTTCTCCTGTTATGAATTTTTGGAGTTTTTTATTGCTTTTCAAAAATGAATACTTGATACATCCAAAGCTTTTTGGTATTAGTATCGAATGTTTTGGACCATTCTTTTTCTCGATGTTTTGTCCTAGGTTTGCTAAGTTGTAATTTGCTGGGCTATATAGGTTGAAGATATCATCATAAAGTTCAGAAAGTTACATACTAAGTTTGAGGTGCTGCCCACATCAACACAGTATGAGAAGCTCGTTAGATATTGTTCTGAATTCTTCAAGGTATATGCAATATAGAACTATTTAATTAATGCGATATCTTTGATGAAACAAATTTCCTTTTATTCTTTTAATTAAAAAAACTTCGTTTCATCTCTGGCTTAATATATGCTTGCCTTTCTTTTTTTCATTAATACACACTTTTAGGTACATGAGGCACTCTGTGTGGTTGATGAGGCGTGCGGATCTGGAGTTGGTATATCATTAGAGTCATTTCATTCAATATTAGATGCTTGTTACAAGCGGTGCGAGTTTAATCTGGTCTGCGGATCTCTCTTCTCCTTTTGCCTTTATGATCATGCTTCATATCTTCCTTGACATTTTTCTTTTCCCTTATCTATTGGTATGTGGTAGGAACCCTTCTTAATGTAGAAAATAAGAACCTTGTTGAAGTACATTGAAGATACTGCTACTTTAGCGGTGCACAATATTATTTTTAGCGGTGTTGTCCTAGTACATATAATGGATTTGACCACTATATATATAGTAGCATCACATACAATGTATTTTAGCAGTACATATAACATACTTTAGCAGGCTTTTTTAGTTTCTGTGTCAAAAATTCATTCCTACTTGATCCATTACCTATGCAATCGAAGAACTAATGGAGTGTATTCTCGGTTAATCGCAACACTATGCATTTGAAGTTGGTTGAGAACCTCCATAGGGTATATGTGTCACACCCATGTTGATTTGCATGTGCATCACAAGTTACGGATAAGTGCATGTGTGATGCAGTGTAATGGCAGAGACGTGAGTTTTCTGATAGTATATATACAGATATGTAATTCTTTGTTACACCAGTTCGAGCTGTAATGTTTGTCTTTTATTATCCGGACTACATTGATGTCCCATATTAAATGCCAAAATGTGTTTAAAGATATGTGCTGTAGCTTATCATTGTTATCAATTGATATATATAAAGCTTGAAATGGAATAGCATTTGTGCATTAGCAATCAAATGAAGTTAGAATTGCTTTCTAATTTATAACAGTAGAGTGCTTTGAGATGCTCAGAGACATTGATGTCTGAGAATAACTTTATAGGTAAACGATATTGAAACATGAGTTTGATTTCTACGGTTCTTAAATAAATGGCATATGGGCCAGACAATATTCATATATTAAACCAGAGACTTTATTTGTGGAGATGGTTGTAGTTCTACAGCATCAATCAATCTTTTGATGCAGAACTATAAGTTCCCGTTTTGAAAATTGGCAAATACGAAAAATTCAGGAAGGAGATATGCAATTGTTTTGCCCTTATGCTTGAAAATTGGGATTTGTTGGAGAGAGGAGTGAAAGGACCATTGGATTCGAATGTCATGTCATCTTGTGGCATTTAGTTGTGTACATGTGACACTAATTCAATCAATCAATCAACATACCCAATTTATTCCCAACGGGTTGGGGTCTGGGAGGTCAGTTGTACGCAGACCTTACCCTTGTAATTATACAAGGAGGCTGTTTCCATAGCGACCCAAGGTACATGTGACACTAATTAATTGGATTATATTGATATGATCTCCTTCAATTTCCAGGTTCATCAGATCAAGTCGAGGATCTCTCAGCAGAATCTAAAACCTAATGATGAGACCATCAGGAAGATGATACTACTATATGTGAAGATGAAAGACGTAAATTTCTTAATTCGTTGTATCAAGCTTAACATGTAATAGGCTGTCATGGTTTCAGTTTTATATTTATTCGGATGCAGTTTGAAGGAGCATATGGATTGATCAATGATCTACCAAACATGGGCATTAATCCAACAGCTGGCATGTACAACACTATAATGGCTGAATATTTCCGCGAGGTTGGTTTGATTTCCTGAATGCTCAATTGTCTTACAGGCCTTCGGTAGCATTTAAAAGTATTTGCCCAATTTAGAATTGCTTAATACAACAAATATGATGTTCTAATCCAATGTTACCTGATTTGGGGCAGTAAGAGAACTGAAGATCAAGCTTTGATAACCATTTATTTATCCTTATTTATGCCTAACATCTGTTTTGCTTTGCTTTTTTGCCGTTTCCTATTTATCGGTAGATTGTTGTCAACTTCTTTCTTGCTACTAATTTCATGAACTAACAATTTTGTACCATTTGCCCAAATTCGCACACGACACATTTATGGTGTCGTATACAGTTATATGTAACATAGGGAAAAATGTATGCTGAATTCTGCTTCTAGTTGTTATGCCTAATTATTGACATTTTCAATTGCTGCATCCTCCAGAAAAAGGTTCAGAGTGCTATAAATGTTCTCAAAGAAATGGAAGGTGCAGATGTCAAACCTGATGCTCTGACGTACAGCTATCTTATAAATAATTGCCACTCGGAGAAAGATATCATTAAGGTACACCAGAGGGTTCAAACATCTTGATCGGCACATATGTGAAATATTATACATCATATAACTGAAGATGAATATGGCACCTAATAAGTTCTTTAAATTTGAATTCTTATTCCATAATTTTAACTTGTTCCCATATTAGTGGTTTGTTTGTGAAAAATTTAACCGTTGTTTACATGCACTTTTTCTAAGTGCATATACATTTTTGTATAGAATTCTTGTAACTGAACTTTGATTAGGAGAGCCTTAACGATTTGAGTGAAAGCTGAATCTTGCTGTCCCTTGGATTGTTCAGTTTCAGGTTCTCAAAAGTGTTATCAAAAGCATTTGCAGATGTTGCTGATGAAAGTCTCACCTAATTTTAATTTGTATTCAGTCCCTTTTTAACTTCCTCAAGACAATACTGATTTAATATTCCTTCTCGAGAAAAGAAAATTTTCTGCTGCTCTATACATGATTTTGTACTTATTCAACTCAAATGGTCTGTCGTGATTTTTGCAATTTAATACCCTGTAGATCTTTGAGGATATGAGCAACTCTGGAGTTAAACCCACGAAATGCGTTTTCATGGCCCTTATAAATGCTTATGCAGCCTGTGGACAGTTTGAGAATGCCAAAAAGGTATGGAATTCTATCTTTCCCAGTCTTTGCTTCTCCTCCAGTCAAATGGAACAATGATTTATCCTAGAATAAAGGATTGCTCCTTCGCTGCTGTGATATGAAATTATTGATGTCAATTTGCAGGTGATACTGAATGCGAAAATACCAGTAAAAGACTTAAACGAAGTCAAGGCTGCTCTAGTTGAAGCTCTTGCTGAAAACGGCCAGTTATCTGATGCTATTATGATTTACGAAGAAATCAAGAAAGCTGAGTGTGACCTGAGTCCCAAGTCCATTAGATGTCTTATTGTAAGCCAACCCTTCCTGTTTGTTTATCAGCTATTATGCTTTTCTCAGATGTCATATGTATTTGCGCTTATTCTGGACAGGAACATTTTCAATCAGAAGGTGAATTGAACAAATCGCTTCAGTTGCTTAAGGAAGTAAATGGTTCACCCTATTGGCATGACGCCTGCTTTACAGTCATATCCCATTGTGTTCGATATGAAAATTTAAGGTCTTATTGCTTGTCGGCATGTATTCATAACTATATTTGAGTAACCCTGCTTGGTTATGATTATTTTATTTGATTCAGGTGTACCATTGATTTATTAAAGCAACTGCAGTATAAATACATGAATGCTGATGTTGCCCAAGAAGTGTTGTTTGATGAGGTATTGGCCTTCTTTCACCCCCATGTGTTTATGAACGACTACCCAATGAAGCTTACTATCATGTTTGGTGCAAATCTTGCTATTTACTTGAAATGGCAACTATTTAGGAGAAATAAATAAATAAATAAAAGAAAAAAAAATGAAAATTGAGATAAACCTGAGATATGAAGTAATCTGTTGACTTTGGAATATGCGAAATTTCATTGAATGTATCATCTTGTTAAACTGTTTCTTGTGAAGACTTGGCCTATAAAATACAACCATCATGGGTTCTAACGAAACAAGTTCACAAGAAACAGAAATGACTGTATAAGGATCTCTAATCAGCATAAATTTTTAACCGAATAATTACTTGTATTCTGCACTTTCAGATCCTGCTACTTTATGTTCCTTATTAAGTGCCGCATTGATTGTGTAGTACTTCTTGCAACTTAAATTGCATTAGTCTTGCTTTTTTCTAACTCTACCACGAAGTAGGTATTTTGCATACTTGCGGAGAAAGAGTCAAAAGACATGCAGTTTGGTCTTGATCTGCTTCAAGCACTTAAAGAAGAACTCGGAGTTCACCCTTCACGAAAATGCCTGGATTTTCTTTTGACCGCTTGTGTTAGTGCAAAGGATTCAAAGGCTTCCTTTGTTATTTGGAAAGAGTACAAGGCAGCTGGTCTTCCTTACAACGTTTTATCTTATGTTAGGTAATGACTTTCTACTTGCCTTTTTTGTTTGTAGTTATCAGATCTAATTCTACAGTTTGAACATCTTTTGCATATTTTCATTAGGTGAGCCATTTTCGATTTCCTTTTTTCTGCTTATTTGACTACATTTCAATTTTATGTCGTTGATACTTGTGCAGGATGTATCAAGCTCTTCTTGCCTCGGGTGATCGTAAGTCTGCAGCAAAGGTGTTAAATAAAATAAAGCAAGATGATCCCCACGTCCGGATTGTTCTCAGAGCATGCCGGAACACATATATAAAGCCTCCTTCAGTTCAGAAAAGGCAGAAGAAAAAAAAGAAGGCACTAGTGGCAACAATGGGGTTGATGGATGCATTGGGAGCCAAAACCAAGTAATTAAATAAGTATGTTGGGCAATACAGAGAAGTCCCAAGGGAGTTGGTTAATCTTTTCCTAAAAGCCTTTGTTTTTGATAGCAGTCTATTTTATGCCATTCAAATTGGCAAATTTGGATATTGTAGATTAAGGGCAATGTGAATCTGTCATGTTGAAGAACTGGCAAATTGTGTTGATATGTATATATGGCCAAATGCTTTTGTTCATTTTAGGCTTTGAATTTATAAATAGAACGAATCACACCCATAATGGTATGCATGCTTGGTAATTAGTTCGTGTGATGATTCCAGTTGACGACTCGATACAACAATGATGTTGACTCCATTTTAAATCTTGGAAGATCATTGAACTACTCTAACGTAATCATGGGAGCACCTGCTTCAAATTTCGAATGTCCACCTTAGTAAAGAGTACTGCAAGTTGGGTGGCTCGGGTTTTCTGAGGTTCTTTTGAGCTTTCCGATCGTGGACAATCTTGGATCTCCTGCGTTTCTCAATGGGGAACTTGTCGGGGCTGATGGTTGTCTCTAAGATCGGGTCTGGGGTGATGAGTTTGAAACGGGCCGGGGTTTGGTATGGGCGTAGTAGAGTGAGATATAAGGGACTTGTGTTGATATGGAGGGAAAGGAGTAATGACACTTGAAGCCATGACAAGTTGAGTACAATGCAAGCACACACATTCAACTAAAAAGAAGATAAGATGGGCTTCCAAAAGGATAAGTCGAAAAAAGGGAAGATATCCAAGGCTTTGAAAGGTTTTTGCGGTTTTGCTATTTATTAGTACATGCACCCATACTATATAAATTGTTCTATATTATTTAATATTTATTATTTTTTACCTATCATTATTAATGAAGTCTCGTTCATGCATGAAATATAAATTCTTAAAAAGCTAAAATTATCAATATAAGACTTCAATTGACATTAAAAAAAAATAATCAACTATCAATTCATGAAAAAAAAAAATAAAAAATTCTCATTCTCTCTAGTATTTTTCCTCCCCCTTCTCTCTAAATTTTTTCTTCTCTTTTTTCCTTTTAACCCTTTCCTTCTTTTTTTCTTTTCTTTTCTTTATTTATTTATTTATTTATTTATTTTTTTTTCTGGCCGGTTGGTGTTTTAGGGCTCTTTTTTTTGGTCTCAAGTCGGCCGCCGGCGGCGGCTGGTTGCCGGATCCCGGCCACCTCTCTTTTCCTTTTTTCTTTTCTTGTCTTTTTAGGTTTCAGTTCTTGTTCAGTCCAAGTTTTCTTCCCCCTTTTTTTTTCTTTTTCCGTTTGGTCTCAGATGTCCAAGCTCTCGGCATCGGAAAGTTTCCCGACAGACCCTCCCCAGACTCCGGCCAGCTTTTTTGTCGGAGTTGGAAGCTCTCTTTTTGGATTTTAGGGAGGCTTTTCTTGGCCTTCATGGCAAAAACCTAAAAAAAGAAACACAATAGAAAGTGACGGGAAGCTCCCCTTCTCGGACCTCAC